GTCTCTGGTTCCCTGTTCACAATCCTGTAGGCTTATTTACTTAGGATACTTCCATAGCTGGGTTGGTTTATGGGTTATATCATCATGTGTGTTAATGGTCAGTTGTTGTTGGCTGTTGTTGCTTCTCTGTCCAAAGGACTCCCTTTAGCATCTCTTGTAAGGTTAGTCTGGTTTTCACAAATTCCCTTAATTTCTGCTTATTTGGAAATGTCCTAATTTCACCATCATATTTGAGGGACAGTTTTGCTAGGTACATAATTCTTGGTTGGGAATTTTTCTCCTTGACTGTTATATATATGTACCATCCCATTGTTTTCTTGCCTGTATGGTTTCTGTCAAGAAGTCTGAGCTTAGTCTTATTGGTTGCCCGCTGTAGGTAACTTTTCGTTTTTCCCATGCTGCCCTTATGATTCTTTCTTTGTCTTTGGTTTTTGGTGAGTTTGAAGATGATATGTCTGGGTGATTTTCTTTTGGGGTCTATCCTGTTTGGGGTTCATTGGACTTCCTGAATGGATATATTTTCATCATACCAGAAAAATTCTCTTCCAACAAATCTTTGACACTTTTCTCTGTGGTTTTATTTGTGTCTTCCTGTATTGGAATTCCGATTACACGGAGGTTATTCCTTTTGATGGTATCTCACATGAACCTTAGGCTTTCTTCATTTTGTTTTGGTCTTTTTTCTGATTGATCCCTTTTCAAAGAAGTGTTCAGGTATTTGCCTTCAGTCTCCTTAATTCTGTCTTCCATTGATTCAGTTGTGCTCCTTGTCCATTCATTATCTTACCTGTTTTTGAAAATTTAGTATTAATTTTCTGGATTTCTGTGTGTAGATTTTGTATCATTTCTAATTTTTCATTTAATTTGTCATTTTGTTCTTGTATTGCCTTTTGAAATTGTTTCAGGGTTTTCTCTGTGTTTTCCTTGATCAGTCTGTCAATTCGTTGAAGATACCTAAATATAATTCTTTTTAATTTCTTACCAGGGAGTTCCAATGCTGCGTCTTCCTCAGGGATGTATTTTGGGTCTGCATCCTGGTCCCTTGTTTCTGCTGCTTTATCTTGCTTCTTTGTGTGGACTGTGATGCTCTGTTGTCTCTGAGGCATTGTGACGTTTTTGTGTTTATATTTAATTGGTGATTGTATGTTGGAGTGACTTGCCCACAATTTTCGTTTTGTTTTGTTTGTATGTTAATCTATGCAAGCAGGGTTCTGGACTGTGCTCCTTTATTTGCTAGTGGGCAGCACTTACACACTCACCACCTGTCTCCTTTCCTGTTATCAGCCTCTCATATGTCCCTGCTACCCTTGGCAAACAGAGCCTATTCCTAACTGCCTGGAATCCGAATGAGGATGCTATCACTTTAAAATCCAAAATGGTTGCTATTTGTAAAGATTCAAAATGGCTTTGCCATCAGTCATTTTAAATATCCAAAATGACCACTGCTTGTAAACATTCAAAATTGCTGCGCCCTCGGTCACTTTAAATATCCAAAATGGCCACGGCTTGTAAACATTCAAAATGGTGCGCCCTCGGTCACTTTAAATATCCAAAATGGCTGCCTCATATAAGCATTCAAAATGGCTTCAACCTCCATATAGCCGAAAATCAACAGTTCAGGTTGTCTCCCACCTTGCTGTTTCCCTTCCTAGTCATAGGCCACCAGCACAGTCATCCCTGCAGCCTTTGGTGACCAGGGCTGATCTTTTTTAGATCAATTCTCAGGTCCCAACACCATTTGGAACTATTCAGGCTGTTGGTCCCGTTGGAGTAGCTGACAGTCCGCAGCTCCGACGGTCTCTGTACTCACTGTTTCCATTCAGGTTTTAACACTAGTTGGTGCCTAATCCATTTCTGTATAGTTCCTTTCAAAGCTCAGGGCTCCAGGATTATATTTTGTATCTTTGTCAATTGGTTTTTCTTCTCCTTGTTGAAGAGGGTCTGTGTTGCTTATCTGACTATTCCTTCATCTTACCGGAAATCTGCTTTTTTTTTTTAAATTGTGCTTTAAGGGCAAGTTTACAGAGCAGAGTTTGTTTTACATTCAATGTTTAGTGTACATTTAGTTTCACTCCCCATTTACCATCACCAACCCTAACCCAGGCTCCTCCCCTCCCTGCCCAGTAAACCACCACCACTACCACCACCACCACCACCCCTGTACCCCTCATAGTTATGCACTCCTGTGCATCTTACATTTCCTCGTGAATGTTGCCCCGTGGTCAGTTATTCCAAGGGATGAGTTTCCAGAGTGTGGGTGCGTCAGCCTGGGTTGGGTGGTCTGCGTATGCATCTCGTTTACTGTTGGGCTGAGAGCTATTCCCTGGAAGTGAGTTTTATTCCAGGCACAAAATGTATCCCAGGGCCATAGTATTGGGGGTCTCGCAAGAATCCATCTGACCAGTCATTCTGGTGTTTTTGGATTTTGTTCCACATTTTTCCTCCCACTTTATCCAGGATCTCCAGTTTTGATCCTTTATAGTTTAAATGGGTTTTTCTACTTCACATGTAAATTCCTTTTCAGTTGTTGCTGGGTTTTATTGAATATTATTATTTTTTCTTCATTTTTAACTTCAATTTCTGTCATCTCTATTTCTGTGTTCTTAAGGTGTTAGATCTGTCTTCGGATATTACCTCTTTTCCTTTTCACTTGCTCCTTTTCCTATTTTTTTTAAATTAATTAATTAATTTTTTTGTTGTGATTTGGGTAAAGATTTACAGAGCAAATTCACTTTCCATACAGCAGTTCACATATACTTCGTCTCATGTCATTGACCACAGTTTACCACAATGCAACAGCTCCCC